TGTAATGTCCCACCAATAGAATATCTGCCAGCAATCTAAAACAGAATAGCAAGAATTAACTGCTGACGTAATAAAGACACTTTTAAGTTGTCAGTTGTTCCTGATATGAACTCCAACACCTCTGGCTCTCTTCAATGAAACACTAGAAATAAGAGCAATTAAAACACATTATATTTTTAAAATAATGCTTTAAAAATAGTAACAGCTATAAACAAAGCAAGTCCTCATCAAAGGTAGCCTAAGACATAATCAGAATAGGATATAAATGTGGCAGGTAAGACGTTACATGGCAGAAGGTATCAGTGCCGGAAAGGACCATAAAGATGCACGAGAAGTAAGGTTAATAAATATAAATGAGAAGAAGAGTTGCTATAAGCAATAGACGAACATGAGGAGCACAAGCAAAGAATATCAAGAGGAAGAATCCATTCCCTTTGTGATACATCATTAACAAGGGCAGGGCCCTGAGATATTGAATGACTCCTACTGTCACCATCAAAAACACAGTAAAACCACCTGCTCATGACACTAGCTGGACCCGAGTTACAGCAAACTAATGAGAACTATATATTAAAAAAGAAATTAGAACTGCAAATTTGACCACTTGGCAAAACCTAACAGAGTAATGAATAAACTAACCCCCCAAAAATCGAACTCACTACTGTCAATTCCAACTCATAGAGACATCAAAATACTCATTGAATAGACAACAAAAGTTTAGTGATGACCTTATTCTATTATCAAGCACGGGTTGTAGTCACAGTAACATTTAAAAACAACCAAACCCAGTGCTGTGGAGTCCATCTCAACCCACGGGACCCTAAAAGACAGAGGACTGCCCCATGGGGTATCCACGATTGTGAATCTTTATGGAATCAGATGCCATCCCTCTCCCCCCTGGAGCACCTGGTAGATTTGAGCTAACCTATTGGTTGGCACCACAGAACCAACCAACTGAGCACTTAAACAGTTAATGAGCCTTGTAAATTCCTGATTTTCTCACCTGAACTTAGGCCAGTCAGTCTCTAGATCTTACGACGCTTCACCATGATACCTAATCAGTAGAATTTTTATTCTAACATAGTGATTCTGCAACCAAGGTCTCCCAATGACATCCAGAAAAACGGACACAATTGCTCTACCTTGATCTAATCGAAGGCCCAATGCAAGCAGAGGAGGAGGAGAAAAATCATGAGGGCATCTTTTGCTTTAACTGTCCCTTTGGGCAGACGGAAAGGATCTTGTAGTGGTTATGCATTGGGCTGTGATCGCAAGGTTGGCAGCGCAAGAGCACCGGTAGCTCCGAGGGAGAAAGGCTTTCACTCCTGGAAACAGTTGCAGTCTCGGAAACCCACAGGGGTGTCGCTATGAGTCAGCACTGGCTCAATGGCACTGAGTTTGGTTTTAGGCAGACTATTATCTGATCATCTTTATCTAGGAACTTTTTGTTGCCTTAAAACAGATGCTTTGGAGTCAACAGTATGGAAATGAGTGGACATACAAGTGTCTACATATACTTAATGAACCATAAAATTCATGTCAAATTTTTTGTTACCCTTACTGTGCGCTCAACTCACAGTCATGCCTCTGACTCATCGCAACCCTGTAAGACAAAGCAGAATTGTCCCTGTGGGTTTCTAAGGCTGCAGATCTTCACGGGAGTAGAAAGCCTCATTTGTCTCCATCAGAGCGGCTGGTGGTTTCTAACTGCTGATATTGTGGTTAGTAGCCCATTACACCATGTGTCTAATCCTCACTACTTCCCTAAGAGGGAAGACCCTAAGAAGCTGAAACATGGTTGGTTTGAGCCCACCCAGAGGCGCCTCAGAGAACAAGCCCCGTGATCACCTCTAAATGGTTACAGCCTTGAAACCCCTAGGGAGCAGAAGTGCTATTCTGTGCACATGGAGTGGAACCGAGTGCGAACAGACCTGCAACGAACCACCACCACCACCCTATGCTGCTGGATTTCATGATAAGAAACCAAGGTCAGTTCTTAATGTTCTTTAAGTGGCTGGGATACACAACCAGTCTTTTTTATCACAACCATGATAGAAATTACTTTCATAATTATCATATAATTCTACTATTTTTAAAGGAACAAAATTCCATTTTATCAATATAATAAAATGCTCACATTGACTAAAAATATTAATTTTCATAAAATCTACTTTGAAAAATGAGTTTTACTTATGAAAGCTCTAATGCAATTATCATTTAGCACTAAAAAGTATGCAAGAGTTTTCATTGTATTTTCATCTTGATGACCCTTTCTCTTCATTCCAGTGAGAAAAAAACATATCTTAACCAAAAAGTTGGCAATTCAAACCTAGCAGCCACTCCAAAGGAAAAAGAAGAGGCAGTCTGCTTTTTAAAAGATTTGCAACCTTGGAAACCTTCTGGGGCTGTTCAACTGTCTGGCAGGCAACAGGTTTTCAACAGGCTGCACGTCTCAAACCTTTCAATAAAGTTCACTCCATTTTGCGTCATTTCATATACAAAAGTAGTCATTCGGTTCAAACATCCCCATCCTTAGAGGGAAGCAGTATTACTAATAATCCAAAACCCATGTCTAGTTGGCACCAGAAGGCCTTAAAACATACACAACATGAATGTGATAGAGTCCAGAGGCCTGCACATCAGGCCTCGGCCTGCCATTAACTAGCAATTTAGTCAACTGTTCTGGGCCTTGGTTTCCCGATATGAAAAAGAATCATCTCATGTTCTACTCTTTCAGCTGGAAAAGAAATGTGACTCATGGGCATGTATCTTTTTTCCTAGCTTTCCCATTCTGTTTCCTTATTACCATGATTTTGCAGCTATTAAGTGTTTATTTCCTTAGTTCTGCAATAGGAGAAAAAAGTCCAAAACTAAACAAAGGTGATTGGGGGGGGGGGCTGACTTCCTGACACAGGTTCTCAAGGTGAATAATGCAGAAGCGATTATAATGTTAAAAGGTGTTCGGTTTCAATATTCTAGATTGCCAGGGGATGAGCCATACCTTTTCTCTAAGGACGAATAGTAAAATTCAAGGACAATAGGGAGGAAAAAAAATAACCATACATTTGTTATTCAAGGAATTAACGGTACCAACTGATATTAATACTAACACCTTTTTACAGAAATGTTCTTTGAATGATGAACTGAAACGAAAAATAAGATACATTTTCCCCCTAAAATATGTTCCTAATAAAACAAGCTTTCATTTTGTAAGTTATGAAGAAAATACTCTCCAAATGTAAAGACTTGGTAAAAAACCATCCGGCACTTAGTATTAAAAGGAATACAGATCTAGCTGTACAATTCTTAGATCCTTCTTCGGAGTGAAATGAAGAACCTCCGTGGACAGCCGGTAACCCTGGTGGGCATTTCCTACCAGGCACATTCTCAATAGAGTATTATGTAAATGCAAGGTTCTTAAAATTATGCTTTGGACATTAAGGTTCCCAAACTTTAGATTATTCAACCAGATTTTTAATATTACGTACTCGCTAGAGCTGCTAGCTGACTGGGCTTCCGGTTGAAAATGTGAAGTTTAGAAATATTTTGAAACTTCCACCGAATTTGAAATTGAATTTTCACATGCCTTGTAAAGAAACAATTAGGGGCGAGAGGAAGAAACCATGTGGATGACTATTAATCTTCTAGGAGGAAAACGGAACAGCCCAGCCAGGTCTACATTGTTAAAGTGAGGAGTGGTAAGCCACCGCTACGGATGGAGAGACTGCGATAAGAATTTCATGGTACAGCTACGAGAATTTCCAGCAAGACGAATCACTGGTGGACGACTACGAAACACATTCATAGATTTTTTTTTTAAAGGAATTACTGAAAGGGTCAATCAGCGAGTCTCTTCTCGGATGAAATATTAAAAAAAAAAAATTTTTTTTTTAATGTCAAAAACCACCTCGCGACTCCGATCTCCCTAGTCTTTTTAAAAGTTCAGAAGCAAATCGAGATGTGTACGTTAACCGCTTCTTAGCATCCTTCGTTAAACGCAATTCCCTCTCCAGGAAGTCATTGCGCTGCAGCTACTTCAATGTCCAAAGCGGAGTCCCAAGGACTCGTCGGAGCCCCAAGAGTTGCAGAAGGGTCGCCCTGCTGCCCCCGCATCCTTCTTCACTTCAGGTGAAACCCACGTAGGGGCTCCAGTCACCTCCCTCACCCATGCTCCCCAGTTTCCTCCCTCACATCCCAGGTCTCTTCTCCTCGACCTTGAGGACCCCCAAACCGAGTCCCAAGTAACTTACCCGGGGTCCCCTTCCCTGCTGCTGCCCTAACTGGCCCCGCGAGGGCTCCGATGGCTTCCCACCGACCACCACGACCCCGATCACCGACGCCCTCCTACTATCCTGGGACGACCTTTCCCCTCAGGTGCCTCCGAGCGGAAAAACAATTCGACATGAAATACACCGGGAGCCTCCGAAGCGCAAGGACACGCGGCCCGGGCTGGCCGTCCCTCGCCCGCCGTCCTTTGCTGGGCCGGCCCATCCCGGCCCGAGGGCCGGTGCTGCCTCCGCCCGGGGTGTTGGGGCGCCGGGCGTGGGCACCCGAGGGACGGAGCGGCGGCCGCTAACGGCGGCGCGGGG